AAATGGTTTTTTTTTTTTTTTTTTTTTTTTTTTTTCGTGGCAGTTGAAAGAAAACGGGGAAACGAAGCCGGTCGTCGACTCTCGGTTCGTCGTCAAGGCAGATCTCGTCCTATTTTCATTTCTTCTTTTCTTTCGAAAAACTGAAGCCTTATCTATCTGAATAATAATAAAGTAGCGTTTATATCAGACATCGTGCGAGCCATTCGAATCACGGCGAGACGCGGTAGCAGTACACTCTTCGAGCATCGCGATGCTCCCTTCGATTTCTCTTCTAATTTTTTTATCTCTTTACAATCTCTTCGTCCACGATTCGCGATCATCCCATTCCAATTCTTTCATCTTCCATTCGTTACCAATCACTAAAACGTGAATAGCGATCTGTTCTTTCAAAAATATCCCGAAAGCTTCGATCAACCGTTCTCTTCCCTCTTTCCGCGCGGAGAGAAAAAAGAAAGAAATTGAATAATCGACGAAGTCGATGGCCAACCACGATATAAAGAGATGTATAGTACATTATCATTTTTTCTTTTTTGCCCTCTCTATTCATTTGTTTTCCGATCACAGAAATCGAAGTATCGATCGTGATGCTCGAGAGCGATTTTCTTCTTTTTTTTTTGTCAAATATTATGTTTCGTTTCGTTTCTTTTTTTTCTTTCTTTCTTACTTTCTTTCGTTCTTTCATATCCAGAAGAAATGTCACAGAGGCCTCGTCGAAAAGCGTAACGCGTGTCCCATGGCGATTTCGTACGGCCCGTCTAACTCGTGTTTATGCGTGGTGTAAAGGTTTATTACTTTTTAATCAAGTATATAGAGCATATCATTTTTAGTCGTAATAATTATATCGATATTGAACTACCTAACCTAATATTTACATTGTTTCATTACCATCATCGTTATCATCTTTTTGTTTTTTTTTTTTATTAACGCTCTTGGCACTACTTTTCCTCTCTCTGGTTTCCTTTCATTCGTTTCTTTCTTTTTTTCTTCATTTTTCATTTACACACAGCCTTGCATAGAATCGCGCCGTATCAGTCATTCAGAAAATCCCTTTCCTTTTCGCCCTTCGCGTCACGCGTTCCTCTCGATGATGTTACCACGCTCTTCCTCCCTTTCTTCGATTCTCTATCTTTCTCCATTTCTTCTCACTTCTGGACCCGTTTTTCACACGGATACGTGCTCCACGTATTTTCACGCACGGACGCGCGCGCATACACGCATACACACGCACATCATACATACATACATACATTCATACGTACATACATGCATACATACACAGAAACGCAAACAATTGACGCGAATCATTCACGCGCGGATACATTCATTTTATTCTAGCGTGTGTCGCAGCGTTGTCCGCTTCTCCACGTTTTCTCCGCTTCGTCGTGTGCCTCTCTCTCTCTCTCTCTCTCTCTCTCTCTCCCTCTCTCTCTCTCTACAAAGACACGCTCCATCGCGAATTATCGCCAATAAATAATTTACTAAGTCTTTTTCGCAGCGAAACGAAACTCGATGATGAGAAATATCGTCCCGTTGGTCTGTGGTATCGCGTCTTGGGTCGGCAGCAAACGGGCAGCAAACTCTGTCGGCTTCTAATTGCTACATCGTGTATTTTCCCATGGCCAGCTTCCTATCACGTACATTGCTTCATGGTGTCTCGTGTTTCCCCCCCAGGAACAAAATATGTCACTCTCTGCGTTACTCGTGGCTGGTGCTGCTTTACGGATCGTACCTTTGCGTCTATTCTCTCTTAAATTCTTCATAGGCCTCGCTATTTTACTATTTTTCTTCTCTCTTCTTTTTTTCTATCGTCCCTCTTTATTTCCATTCTTATCCGTTTCTCGCTTTCGTACACGCTTCGACTGATTCGTTTTCGATCCGATTCGTTTGGTGCCTCAACGGCCCACCCTCAATTCACCCTAATCCAATCTCATTAGCTGCGTTAATAAACTAACCTTGTCTCTAAATAACTTTGGAATCGTCTGAGATCTAGGCTAGAGACTGGCCGATGTATCGCAAGGTATCGAGCACCGGAAGCACCGAAGGGAACAGACCCACGAAAGCAGCACTCTTCCTCCCTCCTTCTTTCTCTCTCTTCATCTTCGTCAGCCCCCGGGCGAGGACGCTGTTCCAAAAAAAAAAAAAAAACCAAGCTGAAGGATCATCCAAAGCTGCGCGGTCCAAAGGAGGATCTACAGCTGCGGCGGTGGTACAAGTAGGATGTTACAGGAGGAGGATCGTCGTATGAAATTCTTCTCTTCAACTTCTCTTCTCCTCTCTCAGGTGGTAGCGTTTTTTATCTGTCGGCGAGATTCTCCGCGCAGCCGATCCACGACCGTAGTAACAACGTGGTAGACGTATTCGTCAGCTGGCCGAACCCGTACGAACGTTTCTCCTGCGAGTCAGTCTTGAGGGATCCTCGACGGGTCGAGAATTCTCGAGGAGGGCAGAACAAGTACGACAACCTTGCTGGCAGTATCAGAGGCAACAGCAGCGTCCTTGTGCCGTGTGTCGTCGACCCGTTCCTCTGTCTTTTCTTCTCGTTGTCCCGCCACGATTTTTGGAATGGCTCGTCGCCTCTTCCACGAGATCCTTCGTCGTCCGTCGACCTCGAGGAATTCGCTGCTATTCGACGTCGTTGGGCTTGTTTGCTGCGTGACCTCAAGCGCTCTTCTTCTTGGCCGTGCCTCGGATCAGACGCGCGGTTTCTGCTGTTGTTGTTGTTCTTGTTGCTGACTCTCGTCGGTCTCGCAGGGAACCATCGTTAGGCTGGACAGGTTGCTCAAGTTGCTACTAGATTCGGAATAACTGGACAAGGTAGGTCGTCTGGGCGGCGGCGGCACCACTACGGCAGGCGTCGAGCTCCCAGGACTAGGGAACTTCCGGAACACCCTCAACAAGGAACTGCCGGCGCTGTGGCACCGGACTATACGATCCGGCGCGTCCAGCAACGCGGACTGGCTTCGGTAAGGCGGAGGGCTCTCGCTGTCGAACACCGTCCGGTTTGGTGGTGGTCGCACACACTTCTGGTAAATCTCGCTCTCCTGAAAATCGAACATTTCAGTTTTAACGTAGGTCTTCGCTTCGATTTATTCGTATTTTCAAGAAAATTATTTAAACAATAGGATTTAAGTAGAGGCCTGTTTAAATATTACAATAAATAGATGCACTTTGCATGTTTTATATATTTTCGTGTATCCTGTACATTCTACGTATTTTCACAAGTATTTCGTACACGCAATCCGATCTTACGAGGTAGATTTTTGGAAATTTCGCAAGCACACGGCGATCAGACGAAGTGGAAGTATAACGACAAAAAACAAAACAAAACAATTCAAACATTTCAACAAAATCGGATAGAACGAAACATTGGAATAATCAATGGAATCGAACTTGACAATTTGCAGTCTAATCTCCCACACGTGTCATATACGTACGGATAAACAAAAGCTTCAATCCCAACGCTCAAACACGATCGATCTTTCGGAAATCCTTTTGGAAGAATTAAGCAAATGCTTGTAGGCGCCCAAACATCCATCCATCAAGAAGGAAAAAACAAAAAACAAAAAAAATTCATATTTGGTTTTCGCGAAAGTGGTGCGCGACACTGTGAGCAGAGTATCGTAAACAACCCTTCGACATACAGCGTCACCAGAGGCGACGTTTTCGTTCGGATATAAACGTAGCGAAGCGGTGAAACGTTTATTTCGCGGCAGTTCGCCAAAAATCGAAAACCGATTTCATCTGCGCGTTTCGTTCGCGATCGTGACACCAGTCAATCGAGTGAAATATCTATATCTCGAACGGTCGTCGACATTCGATTCGTAAAATGATGGCACGCTTCTATGAGAAGAGTAAAACAAATTTCACGCGTAAAATATTCGAAGAGGCGGAAAAGAATTTTACAAGTTGGACGATACGAGCTGTGGATGTTAATAAATTCTTTTAGTATAAATGTAACAGTACATAGAGACGTTTTGCTAATGAAACGAGGAATATTAAAATTGAAAAGCTCGGTAAATTAATGCAATTATTGCAATGACAATTTGTAAATTAGCATATGCTGCGTATCGTAACTATGAAACCACTGAAAAACCTTTAATTTTTGTACGGTTGTAACTTGCAGCCAGCTTGTACCTACGTATGTGAGAATTGAAAGTTGTGCACAATGAAAAATGTTGCACAATCTGAAGGAAGCCTTACTTTCGAAAACTCTTTTTGTTGAATGATTTTTTTTTTTTCTAATTATAAATTATTCTATTTCGCATAAAATCCTACAAATCTTAAACTCAAGTCCATAATCTACAACTTGCAACTCGTCAATGTATTCATATTTTTATTTCTCTCAAATTATTGCGTAAGAGGGAAGGAATTCGACGCGAAGACACACGAACAGAGAAAGAGCGACGGAGATAGAGCAACGTATCAGGTTGTTCCACAAGCGTCCTTCTTTTACAAACCTGTCTATTGCAACAATGCTTTATACAAAACGTGAAACCTAATCTGTCAAAAGTTCTGACCTTTATCTTAATAGAACAAAACGATATTCTATAAAATAATATAAAACAAAAAATGTTGCGCATCTATTATTTCCTTATGAAACGAAAGAAAGTTCTGGCTCAACCTAATACCCTGGTGCACGCGTTTACACGCGTAGAATTTCTAAAATTCTACCTCGTGACCCTCGAACAGCGCCGAGAGGGTGAGCGTTTCTGCTCGATCGGCCGGCATCTGGAACTCTAGAAACCTGGACGAGGGTAGAATTCGAATCTCCATCGGTCGCGCCACCTCCTTCGTGGCGTGGCGAGCACGCGCGAGACGTCTCGACGCGACCTTCAGCGAAAATGGCACGAGACCCGCGGTCACTCGATCGTCTGCGAGCCTCCGAAGCAACGATATTTCCGGTGACCCGGCTGCTTAACCCTATCGAGGCCGTGGTTCATCGCGCTGATTTATACAAAATCATATTTTATATCTACTCGTAAATATTTTTAAACGAGCACGTTGCACAATTTGACGATAAAAGAATTTTATGTACATTTTTATGCGTTATACGTGCTGATATGTCGGTGAATATATGTATATATCTAGCACACTGTGTAAAAGGAAAGAAGAAGACCTGAGACGTGTAATAGAAGAACGCGAAATAACGGGAGGACCAAAGGATAGAGAAAAAATACTAAATGAGACTGGAGAAGGACTAACAGAGCTAAGAGCGATAATAGAGAAGAAAAGGGCAATACAAGACGGGGAGGAACGACAATAAGGAAGCACAGCAGGGAGGCAGAAGCCCAAAAGTTGCCATAGTTTTAGAGACAGAAGAATTAAGGGCAGTGCGATATAATAGAGTGGATAAGAGGGGAGGTAGATATATAAAAAGCGAAATAGGTAAAAGAGATGTAAAGCCGAAAGCTCGTCCAAAACCGAGAGGCGCGGACTAAGCAATAATAAATAATAAAATAAATATGCATATATCTAATAGATTGTTGTACATCTATGTATTTATGCATCAACGAATATTGTGTAAATTTTTATTTCCGTAAGATTCGTGTATTTATTTATCTGTTTCATGTTTATATATCTGTGTTTATTTTTATATATCACTAATCGTAAGAATTCGTAATATCCTATTATCCGTAGTCTGATTGAATGATCCTGAACTAAAGATGAAACCTAGCTAAAAGTTTGTTCCGTTCACTAGAAATTCTATACTCTATATATTAAATACATATCGTTGCACATTACAATGCGACATTTACAGCCTAGAAATTATCAATCGCAAACTTTTATGTTTCCCTTCTGCAATTTAATTTACCAACAAGAACAGGATAATCCATAATAAAATCATTGATCTATTGAAATCTCGATCTTCTTCCAGACACTATCCTGCCTCGATAAATCTCCTTAAGAAGCGAACATTATTCGTTTTCAATGCACCAAATCTTCTATATCTTCTTTCAGACATTACAAATTCGTTTCTTCGTACACGCAATAAACATTTTCTCGACAAATTAAACCTCCATCATCTTCCTCTGTGTATTTTTTCCTCCAAGATTCAAGCTCGTACTCAAGCCTTATACGTGCGCACATACACGTTCAGATTCTCTGGTTATCGCCGGCGCAAACCTTTCAAACGTAATATCAGCCACCGCCTTCGCGTCTGGTAACATTTAATATCGGCATATTAATGGCATTAAACCGTGGGGGAGCAATTTTAGCCGATTAGTCGACTGGCTGGATCCAGACGTTTCGCCAACCGGCACCGTTTTCGTTCGTCGAACGTGCGGCTCTATTAGCCGGTCGCTAATAAGCGCATTTTCGAGTAGCGCCGACCACGTGGGTAATAACGCGTGTAAAAAAGGATAAATTTTTCACGGTCCGTGTACCCCAGATAAAATCTACGTTCCCTCGTTCAAGTCGCGGCTTTTCACTTAGCGATGTTTCTTCTCTCTCGTCTTGATTGGCTCGAGTAAAATGACTTGGGTCGATATAAATGGCCGGTGCGGTTCTCAGGTGTCGAGCACAAGACTCGTGCTACGTATTCGTTGGCGAAACACGCGTGCAGCACCCTGTTCCAGTGAATTCTGTTTTCGCCTGCGTGTTTAACACCGTGGACGTACGTAGACGGTGTTATTAAAGCGTGCATACACGGTAATTAGCTATGCTGATTACGATGTTTAAGAATTAGTATTTACGACGCGTAGACGCGCGATCGAGAGACACGGAACGTTCCTCGTTAAAGAGAGGGTTTCGTTCGTTTCCAAGTTACATCGTTTCGTTAAGAACGATTCGAATTTCGCGCCTTTTCCAGCTAGTCTTCTCGGATTGCAATTTTATTGGTTTCAGGCGAGATGCTTTGATGGTTTGATGTGTCTGTAAGGTGTCTTTTGGTCCTGCTGTTAAACAGCTGGATTTTGTCGGCAAACGTGAGAATAAAATGTATATTTAAATAGACAGCGGATGTTTACGCGAATTCAAATTTTTACGAGCATAATTAAATGAAAAATGCGAAACTTAAATAATATATTAATAGTAAGTAGTGAACTTTGAATATTTTGCAGATATTGCATACGCTCTGTATATTTTGGATAGCATCTATTTTTAAAAAAATAACGATCCTTATAAGGATAGATCACCTTTCCTTTCAAATTGTCTTACGAGACACATGTGACACTGTACATGTAAGAAGTTTTTTCTTACGTTTATCCAACGAACATGATCAAGGAATATCGTTTCGTGAAGAAAACCTGGAACACCGTGTATAGCAATGATGTTTGCAAGTTTCTGTAAACAGGTTTCTGTCCCGACTATGTATATCATTATATTTTTGCAATTTGATGGGGGAAACGCGTCTAATTTGCATCGTAATAGGCGAAGATGCATGAAAAATTGTTTGTAAAATCCTTCTTACACGTTCTCCGATCTTAGGATTATCATAACTGTTTCGGATACTGCGATATTATTCAACGTTTTCTGTTGCTCGATGTAGCTCGTTATCCTGGATCATACTCGGCTAACTTTGGCTAATTAGCTTCGTGTTTTATAATTTCAGAATGTTGTGCTGCAAATTGATTGTGCATAATTTCAAGCACTTTTTATATTTAACATAATTGTGATCTGTTCTCGTGATTTTCACGTTATCCTCGTACACACGTATGCTTCTAATCTATGTACATGTAACAGGTTTGCATCGATCACCTATAAGTTTCGAGTGTAATCAATAATTCGTTCCACATCTTTCGTCTCGCATTTATATTTTTGTTCTTTAATTCATCAGGTATGAAAAATATGTCTATAAAATGAAAGGATAAATCGCGATGGATTTTTCTACAACGATCGACGATATCAGCAAATTGACAAGTTACAAGTTACCCTGTAGATTATAAATTTCTCTGTTACGATTTAACAAGTTGTCAGCGAACACAATACGATCAGATAATCTCAATACTCGGTGTAAATTATTCATTTTAAATGAAATACATTTCATTTCATTTTTACCACACGTGCATCTTATACATTAGCCACTTTCTTTATCGTACGAAATATCAAGCATCATACACAAGCGCGTATATCTTTCTGCGACTTCTATCAGATTTTCAGTCCAAGCTAACAACTGTCGTAAGATTGAAAAATTGTAAGAGTTGAGAGAAGAATTGTAAGACTGCGCGTATTTATACCAACCATAACTTTGTACGAAATCAAAATTTGTTGCATCAACTAAATATCAAACTAACGATACACTTATCGTACGCGTATTCTTTCTCTTTTAATTCCTCGTAAACGAAGAAACACGAACTCGGTGTCTAACCACTAAATCATAATCTTCAAAAATTCCACTGTCCAAAAAGCAACCTCGATCAAAATTCGATACGCGATTTCCCTAAACAGCGTCGGTTTCTGTACCACCAACCGCTGTATGTATATTCCCACAGCTTTCAAACGCAAGCAGAACGCCGCAAACTTGCCGAGCTACGAAGAGAGAGAGAGAGAGAGAGTTTAATTCGGCCAGTCTGCGTCGAAACTAACCACCTAAACCCGCAGGAGCAAGAATAATAAAGAGAACCCCCGTTAAATATTGGAAGACAGTGGGGAACTCACCTGCTCCGGGTCGCGTAGGTGAAGGGCGGTATGTGCTCCGTAAGGACGTTCCTCGCCATCTGGAAGTTGCAGCCGCGGGGGTAGATCGAGGGCGAGGTCCTGCCGAACACTTCCAGATCGGATCGCCCGGTCTCTCGCTGCGGCCACCATCGCTTCCTGTATCCCGTCAGTGGCTCCGCCGCCGCCGCCGCCACCGTCCATCACGTCACTACCACAGTTTGGCTCACCCTCTAGTCTATCGCCGAGGCCACCATGACCGCTGTTGCCTACCTCCATTCCTGGGCTCACCGACAGCATCTATGGATCGACGAAGATTTTGTTTAGCTTACTTTCATATAGAACGTTTCAACAATCGTAAAGGGGCACACGATATTATAGAAAGTTTCGCCAGTTTGTGAACAAAACTCGTACGATAATATAATTGTTTGTTCGATCAGTCACGGGGAGACGCGATCGCGAGGAAGCGCGTCAACGGGAGTCGTTACACTGCGTTAACACTGCGTTATACTAACAGGATATAATGCAGCGGCACGCGAGCAGGCCAATTCAAGTCCTGTTGTTTTGCTTCGGAGTATCAAGACCGTCAATTATCACAAGTATTCGTTATTTCGCTTAACCAGAATCAGACTAATCCTCCACAATAATATACGTGTCGGGTTTACATTAGAATTAGGGTTAGGGGCGTGAAACGAATCTTACGAATTTGGATTACACGTTGTCGTTATGCAATAGAGAAGACACTGACTAGTGCAAATAGGATTATGGTGGTAGCTAGATACTCGAGAAACTAATGACAACGATCCTAGGTTCAATAACGAATCCGCGGCTAAGGGGATGATAGATGTACTTACAAAATCTAAGTCGGATACTTTGTTAATATTCACTGATCGTAAGGCGTTACTCTTTTCGTCGATGAGATCGCAAGAGAGAATGGCTTTCCGTCTCGATGATGCCACAGAGGAAAACTATGATGGGGTGTGTCTAAGGACACGAGATCATCGGATTCGTCGAGGACAGCTTTCGTTCGGAAAGTAAGGGAAATTGACGTCGCTGTTAATTGGTCAATTTGGGACAAAGACTGCTTGTCCATTTGGAAAACCTTGATTAGCAAAATCCTAAGGTTCATAGAGGGTCCTCAGGCTAGCTGAACTTGTGCTGTGTAGCTGCATCGACATCTGGCAATCATTTTTCCCGAAGGAACTTTGGAATATTTACTTAGTACGCGACGTTCGGCAACTAATTGTCGTCTTGAACCCAAGCTTATTGTGATAAATCGCAAATAAGTACTGTTACGACCGTTCGCGAGGAAAACGCGTCAGCGAGAGGCGTAAATTCTCGCTACGATTCGGTGAATCGACGCCGCGAAGTAGTCGTTCCCCTGTTTCGGTTAAAATAACAGAGATGGTTAAATGAATACGACACAGTAGAGTAAGTTATATTTCACCGTGTATTCCAAGAACTTATAACGAAGACAGTTACGCTGGTGCGTATGTACGAGATGAATGAGTGACTGATTTACGGGTGTGTATACCTGGTTAAAGGATGTTGACCGTTCGAAGGATGTAAAATCAGTACTCTACGTGAGAAAAACTAACTTTCCCTTGTCAAGCCGTGGTAGACAATAGTCTTTAGAAATTCTTCGGAAACAGACGTTTGTTTGGTTTGAAGGACCTCTACTAGGAAATTCCTGAGATTTATGGAAGACACTTGAGACTATTGAGGGTACGCAGTGAGTATCCGAAGACATCTGGTTGCCATATTGCCCGCGGTGTGTGGCCTGGGCCAGGTAGAGTGTTACGGGACGTAACAAGCACAATTGGGTAGAATGACGGCAAATTGTTTAATTACAGCTGTAGACTTTAATTACAATTTTACGGATTTTCCCGAAGTTCCAGAGGGAAGGCTCCGATGTCCTTTCATCTCCGACATACATATATTTCCAACAACTTTATACAGAAGATATTTATGTCGCCGCGTAAGATATACCAAAAGTAGATGGATTCAGATGTAAACTGCTCTGTCGTTGTGGAACAAGTTTAAAGATGTTTTTTATTTATTTACTTAAATTTTACAATTTGTCCAGTAGGACATTTGGTAAAATATTATAACGGTATACTAAGTTTAAAGATGTTGTGACTGTTCTGTAGTTGTAGCTCAAGTCCAGAGATCAATTGAAGTTCGTTCTCGTGTTATTACGGAGGAAAGCTCGATGTATGTTTATTGTATGAAGAAAGCAATAATATAATAAGAATTATAGTAATGTATTATTTGGTGAAACAAAGTTGTAGAATAATACGATAGGTTTTGAGTTAGAACTCAACTTTCCCAGGTAACGGAATAACACCCTTTAATTTTCCTTCGTAAAACGATCCATAATCGATAAGAATCCTAAGAGTATTCACATCACGAACGTTAGTGGCACGAAAGCCTGTCGTACAGTGCACATCCCGGCTCCATAAATTCAATTCTCCCGCCAATTAATAATATATCAACCACCTGCGATAGCCGCCAGCAAACGCGTTACGAAATAACCAGAGGGACGCGTTTAATGTGGTACGGGGGTGAGCCATTTCGACAGTTGAATATCGTGCTTTTATAGAAAGGAAATTAGCGAATCTAAATTGTTGGCCGATAATGTAGCGTAGATATACGATTCGATCGTATAGCATAGATGCGAGCAAGAAAGTTCGAAAATTCGTATCTTAATAATTTTCTGAAAGAAGGTAAACGAACGTGACAATGTTATCTGTTTTTTTTGGAAAAAAAATCAGTTTGAATTAGTCCTTATTAGAAAATATCTTCGAACAAGGAGTTATCGAAAGTTTCGCGTATCAACGCTATTCGTTACGAACACTCGGTTTTTCAAATATTATAGGAACGAGGAACGATGTAAAATTCGCCTGAGCAAACGTACATAGTAAATCGGCAAAAATCCGTCTGAAATTTCTCAAGGTTTGCTAAAATGCTAAAATATCACGAATTAAAGAGTTGCCGAATTTCGTGTATTAAATCAGAGCTATGGAAATGACGGACTTTGGATCTTCTTCTCTCACGATAAGCGTAATTATTATAAAAAAACAAGCAGCTACTTTTGCTAAAATTAATATCGATTTTTATTTAGACAGCGACACGGATCTACTCGGTTTAATTAATATCGTTTGAATTATAGCGATTGATACAGGTATACAATATTTAATTACGTATTACAGACTGGTAGTTTCAGTGTTAACTTTGATCGTCTCGACTTTGCCGAGACTTCTTTTTCGAAACACACACCACGCTATCGTCCACATGTACGAAGGATATTAAATCGAAGAGCGTCTTCCGGTGTCGGTTTACGATCGGCACGATCGTATCCATGGAATAAGAAACGATACGAACGCAATCCGAATCGAACCATTGCATTGCATCGGATCATCCAACACGTTTGTCGCGAATAAAATTTTCAAGCAACCGGTCTTCGATTTATCGTCAGGATTGAACATTTCGAATCGATCGATCGTAAAACGAACACAACGCCATTGTAACGATCGGTGGCGATGAAAAATGACAAGTTATGGTCGATCATTAAATGTGTCGATGCGGAAATCCTGGTTGAAAATGTCAAATTTTCGTCGACGAGATAAATTCGTGGAATTCGACGGGTTCCCGAGTGAAATTTAACAAATTTATGGAATTCGGTGTGAACTTTTATGCTTTTGTACCGGGACTTCTATTTCTTCCAACACTTTCTTCATTTCGAAGGAGAATAATTCAACTCTGCTGTCGATTTTTAAATAAATTGCAACTCGAATTACAAAATTGCGACCCTACGAGTCAACTCTTTGTAAAATAAAATCGGCACGTTGACGTAGGTTTACGATAGCTGGATACCATTTACGATTTGAATTATAAAATTGTAATCTCTTGTATGGAAAACGTTTTTCTTGATTATTCTTTCAGAGCTTACACCTCTCGAACTTTGCTCTTGAAATGAAACAATAGCTTCGATACTGTAGTACATATTTTTGTTCATCGCACAATCGCAATCAGAAAATCGCACCATGTTCTTCTCAAGTTTCGTTTAAAACAAAAACTCGAATAACCAGCCACTTTACGATAACACGAATAATCTTACGATTCACGCGTAATGTAAGTACGAAAATCTCGATCAAAATCTATACCACCTTTCGACTCGTTGCAGCTGCACTTTTTTCCTTTCTCGCTATGGTCAGCGTTAATTCACGTTTTCCTAGTTTAATCGTACATTCCGTGCGTTCTGTTTTTAACAGCGTCCAACGTTAATTCGCCACGCGAGATTTTCATTTATTAATTTAATCGGCTTCGAATCGTAACGAACGTCGGTCGTTAAAGCAACGAACGCTGGCAGAGGCAAAAGAGAGAGAGAGAGAGAGAGAGAGAGAGAGAGAGAGAGAGAGAGAGAGAGAGAGAGAGAGAGAGAGAGAGAGAGAGAGAGAGAGAGAGAGAGAGAGAGAGAGAGAGAGAGAGAGAGAGAGAGAGAGAGAGAGAGAGAGAGAGAGAGAGAGAGAGAGAGAGAGAGAGAGAGAGAGAGAGAGAGAGAGAGAGAGAGAGAGAGAGAGAGAGAGAGAGAGAGAGAGAGAGAGAGAGAGAGAGAGAGAGAGAGAGAGAGAGAGAGAGAGAGAGAGAGAGAGAGAGAGAGAGAGAGAGAGAGAGAGAGAGAGAGAGAGAGAGAGAGAGAGAGAGAGAGAGAGAGAGAGAGAGAGAGAGAGAGAGAGAGAGAGAGAGAGAGAGAGAGAGAGAGAGAGAGAGAGAGAGAGAGAGAGAGAGAGAGAGAGAGAGAGAGAGAAAGAGAGAGAGAGAGAGAGAGAGAGAGAGAGAGAGAGAGAGAAAAATGGAGGCACAGGCAAAAAGCCTCGCGTTTTCTCTTTTACTGAAACCACGATTAATCCTTTTCCGCGTCGACCATGTCGAATTCGTCGGGCTCGTTATCGATGTTCGATTTCACGCGGCACCGACAGGTAATTTCCACGGAAAGATCTCGGGTGAACAATACCCGCGCCATATTTCCACGTAGAATAATTTCGAATGATCGACGTGATCGAGATTCAGTCCTTCTTGGTGCTAAAAAAAATTCCAACATCAAAGATTTCTTTTGCGTGAATTTTTGTACAGTAATTATTGATTTTCTAATGTATGTTTCATCAGTTTTTTTCCTAATTATTCCGCGATATTTTTGGTGTTAAAATTTTATAGTGGAAAGGGCATAGGTTTATTTACAGTGGAAAAAAGTGTCAAGAATCGAAAAGTTTAATCGGGCAATCTAATCCTAGAGAATT